GAATACCATCAGGAATGGTTTGAATTTTCTGTGCTGTGCGGTCTTTTTATTCTTTCCCTGCCTGGAAGCAATGTGAGGGAGCTGATATCCAGTCGTCTCCCACCACCGTGATATAATTTCTAAGTACTTATTCAGTAAATGCTAATTTCACACAGTAGTTGAGTATACATAAGTAGTGAGAATCTAGGTCTCTCAGAAATAAACCAGCAGAGATGAGATAAGTGCTGATGTTAAAAGTACACACCTGTATAAAAACTACTCTTGAAAAAGTAAAAGTACTGAGTTTATTTTAGCAAAAGTAAAAAGTTCAGGACATACAATAAGAACAAAAGGTAAGACTAAATTCACCTTAAACACAAAATAAATTTTGTATTTCATTTGAGAAAAATGATCATTTATTCACATTTACATAGAAAATGTCACATCCTTGTGTTCAAAGGGAGTTAGCTGATGCAAGTGTGCTTCTATCCCAGCAATGACATTCTGACAGGATAACTGAGATTTACCTAAACAGGAAATGCACGCGCAGACACTTATTTTTGCTTTACTTCCATGAAAATGAAAATGTTTTGTTTTGAACTGTTTTTAAATTCAGTAACAGGACTAAACTCATCTGTTCAAAGCTACATAACCTTTAATTAAGCCTCATCAGAAGTTGGTTCTCTAAAGTTCTTAGAATCAATAGGAGCCCTTTTGGGTCAGCACAGGGGCACTGCAGCACTAAAACGCCTCTCAGCTTCAGTAGATGTTCAGCTTCAGCCACAAACATCTGGGCGAGGCAGGTAGGACTCCAGCTGAACGTTATCCTGCTGGATGGTGGAAAAGAAGTTCTCCTTTTCTGAAGAAAAAGATCATTTGGATCATGCATCATGTGTTGCTCCTTCAGATGAATTTTGATGAAACCAAGACCTCTGGAAGACAAAATCAACAGATTTCAGAACAGAAAATCTCTTTATTGTCCTTCGGTGGAGACATTTTTGTGTCACAGCACCAGTTATATTTGTTATAGAAGCAAAAAAAAAGAAAAAGAAAGAGTAAAGAATAAAGAGTGAAAATACAGAAAACTATAACCAAAACACTCAAAGTTACAAAAATCTAAATGTTGGATATTTACACATTTTTCGAATTAAAAAATAAAATACTTTGTGTGCAGATAGATTAACAGATCATTAATTTACTTCTGTTGTCATTCATAATAAATCCTGGAATAATTCATGCATTCACGTCTCATGCATCAGTTTTTCCTTTGTGCAGAAAATTAAATGTGAATTTTAATAGATCTTATCAACATTCAGGAGCACTTGTGCAGCTTGCCCTGAACTCAGGGACAAGAAGGGCAGCAGCAGCAGCTCTGAGTCGTGAGCCTCCATTGGTGGTTGATTTCCTCTTCAGTCTGGTTGAAGTTAGGTTACCTTTCCAGGTGATTTTGTGTGATTTACACATAAACAGAGAAGAGAAAAGTAGTTCCCTACAGAAATAGCCCACAGGAGGACGAATCTCCTCTTAGAGCTCCGGGGTCTCTTCTCCACTGCTGAGACGTACTTCTGCTCACGGACCGCTTTTCCAAGACATTACATTGTCTAGGTATCGTTTCTTTGCATCTGTTTTAATACTGTCCTTCTTCTTATGAATTGCCTTTATGCTGCCTCTCGGTTTGTTATTGTCTTTCATGGATATTAAAAATGGCGCAGCACTCCCATAACGCATGACGTCAGCTCCAAAGCCCTATTGTAACCCCAGGATCTATAGGCATAGCCCTTTAAGGCCTCATTGGACAACGTACTCATGGTCAGCAAAACTTTGAAGAGCTGAAATGTATGCCCACCAATCAGCGGGCCCCTGCTACAGTATATAATGGCGCTTTCGCATCTGGGCCAACACGGAGACTGGGCAGCTTTTAAAGTATGAACAATCAGATTCGTGCGGTTTATCTGTCCCTCCACAGTGGGTCCCAAGTCAGAAGGATTTGCTTTGGGGGAGATCAGTAAGCTCACGGAGGACCCCTCCAGAGTGCACGCTCTGTCAAATCCTCCAACACAGAACAGCCACAGAACTACCGCTCTACCACTAGATGCTGTTCGTACGCATGGCCAGAGCTGTTCTTACTCTTGGGAACGTTTCTACATACAAATTCGTAAATATACATACAATTGTTCCTACGCACGAAATATGCACAGACCTGTTCGTAAGTACGGTTGACAAATGAGGGCCCAGGGCCGGCTTGATTTTAGACAGTTTTAGACCAATAAGGATGGTGCACCCATGGATGTAATTTTCACTTTAGAAGTGGGGGGGACACGGGGGGGGGGGGGGGGGGGGGGGGACACGGGGGGATCTTTACAGTATGCTCTAATGGGAAACAGGTTTCAACACAAACAGCTGTCTTCCGCTTGGTCTTAGGCTCAACCAGTGTCAATTTAACAAAGCGTAATATTGTTTTTGGATGGTAAAAAGTGCAGGGGTCAAAACTTGATTTTGGAAAAAGTTGGGGGGACATGTCCCCCCGTCCCCCCCAAAAATTACGTCCATGGACCGTGCACCACTGGATAGCACTGTCTTACACAAATTGAAGATTTATGAATGATCGTTAGAGCTATGTGCCAGACCTCCTCTGATAATTCACCACCCAGGTCCAGCTCCCATTTCTGTTTTAAAACATCCAAACTGGTCCGATGGTGTGCTGAACCAGGTATGAAGTTTATTCAGTCATGAAACTTGACCCTCTGCTGTCCAAATAAGGCAAATGTACCATCAACATCTAAATCATAGCCTCTAGAAGAGCATCAGACACAATCAGACACAGATGGAATAAGCATGTGGTTCTTCGTCACAGAGGTGGCAGACCATAATTCAGAGAGACCAAAAGACTGTCTAAGCTTTTAATTATCGGAACAACGATGGGATTGGCCGAGTATGAAGATACGGAGCGTGAAAAGGGCAGCCAAGAGTACAGCTTTTGGAGAATTAGTGGAACAAAGCCTTCCCCACAGCCACCCAACTTGGCAGAAGTGACCAAGCAGTAAAAGAATAATTGAAAACTGACAGTAGCAATGTTGACAGTAGTCCAGAAAAGATACCAAAATACCAAAAGATGCCAGAAAGGTATCCGGTCCAGGAGATTTGCTGCTCAGCATGTTGCTGATCTCAGAAGGAATCAATAAAACATCCTTTTTCAAATCCTCAGCCAGATCTACACTCAGAGAGAATAGTTACTTCAAAGTCATCCTCCATAGAGGAGGAGTCAGAAGAGTTTAGCAAGCTGTAAAGTGAACTGATTATGTGATTTTCCTGAGTCTTGCATCTGACTCCTTGATTGTTATCATGGCTGGAATGATCTGAGAGGCTGATGCATCTGATGTGGGAGCATACTTCCTGCTTTCTCACCATGTTCAAATTATTCACGTGATTTAGATTTGTCATGTGAGCAAAATATTAAATTCCATTTGGAGCGCCATTCGTTTTTTAGTCAGAGTCATGATCCCGATCTAAATTCTTCATCTCCTCCAGCAATGATCCAGCCTCTCATCTCTTTTCTGTTTCTTACAGTAAGAAATTATTTAACCCTTCAGAAAATCCTGCAAGGACTCCCAGATAGTAGGAAATACATTCCCGGGGTTTGGTTGATCTTGATAAAAATTTTAATTTCAACGTTCATAAATTCAACAAAACTTTGATCTGAGAGGAGCAAAGAATGAAACCGCTAGGTGTGGTACACCGGTCGTCAGCTCGGGTAGCAGATTTCCTACTGAGAGGACCATGACCTGAAATAAAAATGGTGCCATGGTCACATTCCTTCACCATACATTCAATTCTAGCATTAAGTATTCCATTAGTTTATAACGCAGTTATAACAAAGAAGTCAAGGAGACACATTATTGTAAAACATAAACAATACATGTTCATGAACAGTTTTTCTCTAGAGTGCAAGAACAAATTTCCACATTTAAAAAAGAATGCATCTTGTTTAGGGATCAGGGTTTAGGACAGTGGTCAGCATTGTCGCCTTAGAGGAACCGTCCTGGGTTTAAATCCCAACCTAGGATCCTTCTGTGTGTTGTTTGCATGCTCTACCTGTGCATGGGTTCTCTCCAGGTGCTCTGGCTTCTACAGTCCAAAAAATATGAGAGTTAGCCTCTCTAGATTGTCTAAAAGTGTGAGTGAGTGTGTGTGTGTGTGTGTGTGTGTGTGTGTGTGTGTGTGTGTGTGTGTGTGTGTGTGTGTGTGTGTGTGTGTGTGTGTGTGTGTGTGTGTGTGTGTGTGTGTGTGTGTGTGTGTGTGTGTGTGTGTGTGTGTGTGAGTGTGTGTGTCTCTGTGTGGCCCTGCGATGGACTTGCATCCTTTCCGTCTGTTTCCAGACAATGCTCGAGATGTCAGAAAACTCTATTTTCATGAAAAATTTGTGATTATAATTTGTATTTTCGAGTTTTTATTTGACACAAAATCTTTGGCCTGTTTGTGGTTTTGGTCACAATCCATTGGTCTTGTATAAATGGACTTGGATTAAAATGAAGAAGCCCGTCTGGGAGGTGGGCCCACATTTCAGAATGTTTCGTTGAAAACAGAAAGGCTTTAACACATGTGGTGAGCAGAAATGTGACCCCGTGCGACTGTGTTCCTCCGTTTGCATCGTCTTTCACTTCAGCAGAACAGCTGCCAAGTGAGAGACCGACCTTTTCAGCAGCTCTGAGCCTCCGACTGATGCAAATCAACATTTACTATATGGTCATGAACCACTTATAAAGTCAGTTTGTCTCATTACCTACAGTCAGCCTCAAACACGTAAAGAGGCGGAGAAGACGGAGGCTCATGGTGCCAACAGGTGAGGAGATCTAATCCTATCATCACGTTAGGAGGAACTTTTTCTGTGTTGGAGCACGTGACGCAGCAGCAGCCATTTCCCGAGAGCATCGACAGGAAAGTAAAGAAGTTTCTGAAGCTTAAAGAAAGAGGAACTAAAAATGTAAACCATGGACGCATAACACTTACATGTAGATCTGAACAGATTTTAAAACACAAAGTTTATTCTCAACTAAGAAAGTAGAAAATAAAGTAAATGAAACAAATATAACAGCCATTTATATTTAATAAATTTAAATTGCACCAGAAGAAATCAGTTTGCTGAAAGCTCTCCTAAACACCCCTCATAAAGATGAGTCTGTGTTTGAAAAGGACTACATGCTCAGATCTGTTCTGTCTCTGGTTAGTTATGGTGTTGTAGCATGGAAGCTGCCTGTTTTCTTCTGTTCAGCCACAGTTGGAGTTTGCAGCTGCGCTTGAGGGTGGCGGGTATCTGTGTTTGTGGACTTTTCCCAGGTTAGACGTTTGTCTCGGACCAGAGCGGGATGGACGAGCGAAGCAGAAGGTCAGAGTGCTGCTGGGGCTGCAGTCGTAGTTTCCTTCCTGCTCAGAGAGAGAAAAGACATGCTTACAGCGGATGGATGAGCTGAAAGCAGCCTGACCAGCTATAGTGTCCAGGTCCGGTGTCGGTACAAGATCTGCTCGGGTGCAAAATCGGCTCGGGGTCCTTCGACTGCCGATGACGTCAAAATACGGCAAACCCATTCGGGCAAAATACACTACACATCTATACGGTTGGAAAGAATTTAGCAGTTTCGTTATTAAAATAATGTTTCTTAAGACGTAAGTTTGTGTTTATAATGGTATTTGTAAAATAAAACACTATATTGTATTCATAATGTTGAACTCCTCTTTGAGCGCATCCCTTGAAGGATCATAGGTATTAGCATCACCTGTGAAATTGTGTTTGCAGAAAAGAAGTGTGTCCCGTTTATTGAAGTATTTTGTGTTTAGAGTTTTTTACGTCTTGTCCATGTGTAGTTCAGGTACGCTCATAGCTGCTAGCCAAAACTCTGGAGTAAAAAGTTTTCTGGCTTTACTTATTTGATTGATGGTAGTTTTACTTTCTATTAGACTCCAAATGTAATCATTTGGCACGTTTCTAATTCATAATTTGTAAGAATGTAATCGGTGATATTAGCATTAGCATTCCTATGGGTTTTTCCATGTATATTAGCATTGCGCTAACCACTCGCTGCCAAATTGCAGCCTTTGCGATTAGAAAATCTCCTTTTGTCACATCGCAATTTAATTACACATGCAGTTAATCGTTCAGCACTAATATACATGCAGCTCTATGCTAAAAGTGTATTTTCAAAGAGGTAATGATGGATTTCTTTGTAAAAGTTGTCCATCTTTCCAACAGAAAGATTTGCCTGGACCAACTTAACCTGATAACAACGTAACGTGATTACGTAATTCCGTAAGGTTCATGTTCAGCCAATAAATACTTAGACGTCATCGGTAGTCGACGGGCCCCAAGCCGATTTTGCACCCGAGCAGATCTTGTACCGACACCAGCTGCATTCACGTCCTGTTGGTGTTCTAGCTGAAACCCAACGTCCTGACACCATATTTCTGTTTCTCACCTCTGCTGCGACGGTATTACTCTGCCTGACTTTCTGGTTTGGGTTGCTCCTCTTCTCATTTCTCTGGACCCGACTGGCCTCCTCTTTCTGCTTCATGAACCTCTGGTTGACGATTCTGGTCACACTGTCGTTCCTGTGCAGCTGAGGGACCCGAGGCCTTGCTGGAACCCGCTCCAGGTTCTTCGGGTCGCCTTTCGGCTTCTGCGCGGAGCCGGGAGTGGCTCTGTCTGCCCTGCAGCTCATCCTGCGTAGGAACTCGGTCACCAAACCACAGCGGTTGGTGCTTGTGGATTTACTGGGTTGCTTGGCATTACTCACAGAGTCATGGCTCTGTGCAGAAAATGATCTGGGACTGCTTTGACGTGCCCATGTGAGGCCAGGGTAGCTCTGATGTGACTGGTTCCACGTGTTCCGACCTCTGGAGTTCAGCGCAGGAGAAGGGGGGTTCAAACTGGTGGAGGAGCAGAGAGAGGAGGAGTGTCTGCGGTAGAGTTTAGGAGAGGAAGTAGAGGATCTGGGCCTCTCTGCTCGACTCGCTAATCCATCCAGTGAGGTGGAGATGTGACGAGAGCGAGCTGCAACCAGGGAGGAGCTCAGGACTCTTGGGGGGATCTTTCTCACTGGGGTTGATACATGAGTCACATCTGTTTGCTGACCAACACTCACCATCTGCGGTCCGATGTGGGTCTGGGTCCCAGAGCAGGTCACATCAACCCAACAGCCTGCTAATCTCTCTCTCTTCTCTTGTGGACCACAAAGAACCACCTGCCTCCAGCTAGCCGTCATCTCCTTCATGTCATCACTTAGGTTGGCCGATGAGCCCAGACAGATCTGAGAGAAGGAGGTTGGGGGCGTGCACCAAGGAGAGGATGTGCCTACAGACTCTCTTTCCATGACCGGACCCTTCTTTAGCTGAGCCAGCTGGACTCTGCGGGCAGATGGCGGACTGTAGTAAATGCGAAAAGTTGTTTTTTCTGGAGCAGTGTGGCTCCTGTCCATTAACATCTGCTCAAAGTCAAGATCAGGGAAGCTGAGCGGCATGATTTGATGGTCCCAAGTCTTAACAGGGTCTTCTCTGTCCAGCAGGGCGGCCTCCTGGCTCACATAGCACCAGTTCTTCTTCTGAAAGCCACGGGGCGAAAACATTCGTCGAAGTCGATTTTCATTTGAGCTGCGGATTCTGTGGAAAGAGGGGAAGATAAATGAGATGCAGAAACAAAAGATGTGAGCATTCAAGTATAAATACTCACCTGTTAGCTTCATAAGGTGGTTCGTCGTGAAACACATCACCCACAAAGAGCGGAGCCTGAAGAAGGTGAAATCGTTTAGCCAAACAACAAGGACCAGATCCCAGAGGATGGGCAGCTTGCATACAAGCTCGGAATATTTAAACACTTTTAACACTTGAGTTGTTTTAAATGCAATTGCTGCTGAACTCAGGCTGATGTAAGGCTCCTCTGTCTGCTTTCTATGTCCTTCTGTGCAGCAAGTTAATAAGAACTGGGTTAAAACATGCCTGAAACCCATCATTTCAACAAGTCACGACCTCAGCACACTGCTGCAGCTGCTGACAACCAGCTGTGGAGTCTTTATTACTCCAGACTAGGGTTGTCACGATACTAAAATTTCTAACTCGATTCGATACTGGGGGGAAAAAACTCGATACTATTTAAAAACACCAATTTATTGAACAAGTTTATTCAAAAAATAACATTCCTCAGTTTATATTGCAAAAATTAAATGTTAAGAATTAAGTGTAAAGTGCTTAAACCTTTCAAGTATCAGCATTTTTTTAAAACGTGCATACAAAAACTGGCGAAAGTTAACACTTTAAATCATGAATTGTCTCACTATATATACACTATTTGCAGAGTGATGTTTTGCTGCTTAAACTCTGTTTAAGGTGCATTTTTGTCATAAGATGTAATACCATATGTTTTGTTCTGTACTTTTGAACAACTGTTGGTCAATAAAGGGAGAAAACGAATTTCTCCACAGTAGGACAAAGGTACATCTACCGGTAATCTTAATAAAAACAGATTGGCGCACGGCAGTGACGTCATTAAAAGCACCGGTTAGCTTAGCCGCGGCTAGTCTATTTACGCCTAGAAATCTCAGACCCACTCCAAACGAACAGGGGAAACACGTTAATGATTCCTAACAAAACCTTTCGACATTGAGATGTGTTGGTGCAGATAATGTCTTATTTCGAGGCTGCACCATGGGTGCCCGTCCGCACCCGTTATATGGATATACGCTGATGGCGATTCGCCGATGGATCTAAATACCCCGGGGAATCCAAGTAGCACCAAAGTTGTCAGCGTGAGTAAACAAACGTACTGCATGCTAGAAATTAAGTCCGGGTTGCAATAAACGGGAGTTTCCTTTAAGCACATAAGCGTGAATATACAACTACGTGTCGGACTTGGTATGCTAATTAAGTTAGGCTGTGAAGCGCCTCCCAAATTTGCTGTTTATGTTTTTGTTTATTTATTTGGCAGACAAAACTTGGATCGGAGACAACTCGCGTGGGAAATTGCAATGTAGCCATGCGGCGTCTTCTTCTTCTGTTTGTCTGGGAGGCGGAGGCTGCTTTACGGCATCTGGTTGTCGTGCGTGTCGGTGTACTTGAAGAAGGCTGTGTATAATAGTCCATAATATCGATACCACAGGGATGGAATATCTCATTTAGATACCACTTTTAGCATCGATTTATATCTAGGCATCGATTTTTTTGACAACACTACTCCAGACCGAATGTTCCTTTGAGAAAAGCAGGTATTGTTTTTAAAATGTATCTTTTTTATTTTATTTGGAGGTAGAAACTGTTGTGCATGAAGAGGTAAACCAGGAGCGCCGGACCTGGACGATGCAGCGGAATACATTCATGTGAAGAGTTTGGCCTGTTTGGCTGCAGCTTCCATGAGAGATTACCCTAAATACTCTGGCATGACTCTTCGTGAGGCAGAGATCATCAGCAGGACATCCCACTGATTCAAACAGCCTCTCACACAGTAGGGGGGAGGAACAGGGCACAGACCCAAAGGCTAAATCACTCTCACCTCGGCTGCCTCCGGCAAACTGCCCTCGGCCTTGCTGTCGTCTCGAAGCTCTGCTCTGAGGTCTTGCAGCAACCTGAGCAGAACAGGTAAGGTGTTGTCTCTGCCCTGCAGGTAGAGAAACAATCCACAATTTTGCTTCTGCAGAACATGATTGGTTCCCAGAAAGAAACATCTATGATCGTACCTCTCTGTCTTCTGAATTGGTTCCTTTAGCATTACACCACTGATGAAGGACCCATAGAATTTGCAGTGACAGCCTCATTTTTGAATCCCTGCTGACGAAAGCCTTTTGTCCTCCTGGTCTGGCTTTCCATTTCACCTCCATGCTGCAGAGATGGTCTGCGTGCTCCTTTTTAGTCTCTGGCTCTTTGACATTTTCTGTACTTGCATCGAGAGAGGACGGAGTGTAGTGATCGCATGTGTTTTCCTCCTTGTGAACACTGTTTTTGTGTTCCCCCTCTCCTCTCAGAAGTATGTCCATCTTCCCGATGAAAGCTGACAGCATGACCTGCAGAAGCTCCAAAGCCTCGTGTAGCGACCCCTGAGGTCTACTGTTCACATCTGCTGGAGGAGGGCTGTGTCCGTTTCTAGGTGGGGCCGTGAGGAGCTGAATGGCTGAAATCAAAATACAGGAATGATCTCTGAGAGAAAGAAGAGACTCACAGTCTTTGGTAATTGTCTCCTTTAAAGTTCTGTCCAGTTTTTTGCTGTCATCCCTCTCCTGGCTGTCTGAAGCATCCTGCTTGCCTTCCAAAGGACCTTCTCGTGTGGACAGAGACCTTTCTGCTCCACCTTTTCTTTGCTCCGACTCTTTGCACTGACCCATCATTGATCCTGCTTCCAGGCTGCCATCTTTGTTCTTTGCAGAAAGACTTTCCTCCAAAACATCATCCTCCTCCCCTCCTGTTTTCTCTTTGAGGTCACTCATCTCTGCTCGCAGTCCACGATTCTCCACCTCCAGCTCGACTATGCGCCGGCTCAGAAGCATGGCCTCCTCCTCCACAAGTTTCAGGTGAACTTTGACCTCTGCCTCCCTGGAGTGGGTGGAGCTTTGTTTGCCTTCGGAACTCTGGGTGGCGTCTACGTCTCCATACGTGGACCGGTATTTTGCCAGCTCTTCACGCGTGGCCTCGCTCTCTAACACCAGCTTGGTGAGCTTCTTGCACATGAGTGCCAACTCCTCTTTGGCAAAGTGGAGCTGGCACTTCAGATCACTGCTGTCATCCTCGTGGGAGATAAACAACAACAACAACAGTCACAACAACAGGAGACAGAAGACAAATGCAGTCATACGAAGAGATTATGAAATGATTCCCACCTCCATCTGCTGAGAAAGCCTCTTCTCTGCCTTACTGGGTGTGGACCTGACGCTCTTCTTCTTTAACACGGTCTGAGGAACAAAAACAAATCCAGACAGTGAGCCAAAGAATCTGCATCTCTAAATCCATGGGTGATCTCTACTGGGTCTCCACTGGGCTCAGTCCGTTCACTGCTTTTATCCCTTTTAGACACTCAGAACCTCATCTGAACTCTGTCCTTCCTCAGCAGCGATGGCACTGACCGTGGACCAGCCAAGGATTTCCGTGATTGGTGTCAATCTAACCTTTTGAAGATGACCGTATCTAAAACCAAAGAGATGGTTAGTGGTTTTAGAATAAACAGCACAGTCACCCAGCCTGTGCTCATCTCTGATGAAAGGATGGAAACAGCAAATCGTACTTGGGGGCTGACTGACCTTTGACCCCCAGATGGACATCATCAGAGTACGCCCTTTTATAGACTTCTCTGTGGTTTTAATGTAGATTTAACTCTTATAAGAATGCTTTTTTTCTCTTTCATTGAGTCCGTTTGAACTTCAAATCTCGGTTTGAACTTTTAACCTTTAAGGACAGAAAAAGGCTGTTGGGGGTTGTCAGGGTGTGCAAAACAATTCCTGGTACAACTTCACAGATGTACACAAGGTCTGGCCAGTGATTATGGTCAGCCTGGTCCAGCAGATTCAGCTCACTCTCATCACGGTGAGTCCTGGTTCCCACCATCCAGACACAGACATCCATTTCCAAGGTGCAGGACCAACAGACGGACGAACCCTTTCATCCCTACAGGGTGGAGATTTTTAAATAATCTTGAAGAGAGAGCAAAGCCAAAAGTCAAAGCTCTCCATTTACAGGTTATGAGCTCTGGATTATGACCAAAAGAGCAAGATTACAACTAAAGTCAACTAAAAATAGTCTCCTCCTCAGAATGGCTCTTCTTAGGGATGAAGAGAGGAAGTGAGACATCTAGCCACTGCTCCTCCAGATCAAGAGGAACCAGCTGAGGTGGTCGGGGGCATTTGGTCAGGATGCCTCCTGGACTCTTTCAAGAAGAGATGTAGATGAGAAGATGACTGTATAAGCTGGCCTGGAGGTTTTGCACACCCTGACAACCCCCAACAGCCTTTTTCTGTCCTTAAAGGTTAAAAGTTCAAACCGAGATTTGGAGTTCAAACGGACTCAATGAAAGAGAAAAAAAGCATTCTTATAAGAGGCCTTAAGTGGAACCTTGAGGTTCCACTTGAGGAGCTGGTAGAGGTGGATGGGGAGAGGCTTACTAGGATGACAACACGTCAGTGAAAGGAGGTTTTCACTTCAGTATCTGTGCAGGGCTTCTAGGAAACCTGACTCGTGATTTTACTCACAGTTAAAGAAAAAAAAGAAATGCTGTTGCCTCTTTAGCTGAGGGACTGCCGTAACGATCATTTTGTAACAAACGACCTGAGTTTCACGTTCTGGTTCATCTCCGTCAGACAGGACCAGGAATTGTCCCGCTTCATCTCTGGAGTGTTTATTCTCCCTCTCACGTGCCTGCACTGTGTTTTGTGCCTCAGATTAGGTCATCTAAGTGGATTTTCCTGTTGGGATCAAAGAGACTAGCAGCTGTCTTAGATGAGCAGGCCCGACTGAGCTCAATCCAAAGCACTGAATCCTGGATTAAACGGAACACGGGTCAGTGGAGAGCTCAGTGTTCATCCCAGGTAGTTAGAGGAGTAAAGGAGGAGAAAGATGGGCTGGAAGTTGAGTCAGTGTTGGGTTGCGGTGGTTGCCTTTGATTAAAGTGGGTTTGGTGAAGGTTGTGGGTCAGCAACGCCTTTCTGAACGCCATAATTCACTCTGATCCCGATTTAGCCGAGCTTAATGCAAGCAGAAAGGCAGAGAGAATCTATTTTTGTAATCTCTCACACCCTCGCTGTCTTTTCCTCTCCTCTCAGTCTGTAATGTCAGCTGCGTTAGGAGTTCAGGCCTCGGCATACCAGGCTGCTTCACCCGGCTCCAGCACCGAGCAGCTGCCGGCCCAGCCCTTCTCTCGTGTCACGGATCGGCACCGGGCTCATGTGTCGCCTGACATTGGGGTGACTCAGGTATGAGGGGGACAGCTGGCTGCACGAGTGCAGCTGTGAGGGGCGATGAAGAGGACGTCTGACTGCAAAGATGACGACTCATGAAGACTGACCGGCGGAGGCTTCGTGTAAAGCCAGTTTTAGGACAGAGATGTGTCATGTTCTTCTCTTGTGAGGTTCTTAAAACCTGTTTTCCATGTTGGGCATCGTTTTCTGCTCTTGAACTCCATAAAAAACATGTTTTAAGACCCTGGAAACAGAATCTATTTTTAAGCGGAGGTGTCAAAAGTATTCACATTCATTACTCTGCAGAAGTAAAGCTATTAGGGTTTAAAAGGACTTCTCATTTCAAGCTTTTCACTTGAGTAAAACTCAAAAAGTACTGGTTTTAAAAGTACTTCAAGAATAAAAGTACTACTTAAAAAAAATGCTATTAAGGAAAAAAGCTTAAGCTGTGCCAAAGCCTTAAACATTTCTACCAAAGGGCATAATGACTATAATGTTATACAAACATGTTAATGTTGGAACACACTAGATGGCTTAGGACAGGGGTGTCCAATCCTGGTCCTGGAGGGCCGGTAACCAGCAGGTTTTGTGGTTTTTCTGCTTCAACACACTTGATTAGCTGGTTGATTCACCTGTGCAGCAGCTCATCAGGCTCTGCAGAAGCCTGTTAATCACCTGCTGATTGAAATCAGGTGTGTTGAAGCAGGTCAAAAAGAAAACGTGCTGGATACCGGCCCTCGAGGACCAGGAGGGTTAGGGTTAGCCCGTTAAAAAGTAATGTCATTGCTACGTGTTTCATGGAGTCGAAGATATGATGACCAGATGCCTAGAAGGATTGTACTGGTGCAAAAAGATAAGGCATCTTATCAATGATCTTTATTGGGATATGAATGTACACCGGCAGCTGCAAGGATCTGTGGAGGCAGCAGGAGATAAAACTAGACTGTTGGCAGGTTTGGAAACCATTACCTTTGTGTGGTTTTCTATACATTAGTTCTGTAAAAAATAATGAATCAAATAAATAAATGTGTGTCCTGGCTGGTCTGTAACGTGGTTGCTACGTGGATCATAGGGAGTCAGAATCAGATTTTCTCTGTTGACGGTGCAATGAGTCTGGATGTGTTTTTGTGTTTTTCTACAACAATTATAATAAAACAGTAACAAGGCAACTTTAAAATGTGAGGAGTAGAAGTAAAACGTCCACCAACAGGTAAGTGCTCCAGTGTAGATACGCACTTTCCTGTCATGAAGAAGTAACATTAAATTAGAGCCAGAATTAATCCGTTTCACAGAAGAATCCAGAATTCATGCGAGTAGGATTTTGATCAACAGGTGAATGAAGCTGATTACCGTTTTCGTCGCTCACCTCTCTTGTTTTCTCCACCTCGCTCTGCAAGACCTCCTTGGCCACCTCCAGCTCCTGAGTCTTCTCCCGTAGAACCTCGTTTTCCCACTCCAGCTGGGAATTCTTCCTCTGAACTGCCTCCAGCTCGTTGAAGAGATGGAGGGATACACTTTTAGCTACCTGGGAGAAGAGAAGAAAGTTGATTTTACTACATCCCAGTGGTGATACGTGTTGCTTTAGCTAATAATCATCATCTTCGTTTTTATGGGCGCGTGTTTGCTGTGCAGCTGCTTTGGACACAAGATGCTAAGAAAAGTCTTGTGATGGGAATTTACCACGAGTGCATGGAAGAGGGAGTGAGTGAAGCTGTCGGGAAACCTTACACCACACACACACACACACACACACACAGAAAGAGAGAGAGTTCAGAGAAACCTAATCGGACTGCCAACATTCAACAGCAGGGCCCGTGGTTCTATTAACTTTCCTCCTGCTTTTGTCTTTCTGCTCTCATGATGAACGGCTCACCACATAATTACACGATCACAATACAAACAGGATGCATCAGGAAGAAATTACAGTGTAATGAAAGGTATGTGGTGCTCCAAACAGCAGGAATTACTTTACAGGGCAGCAGAGTCAGAGTGTGGTCGACTGGTGGAACTTTTCCAGTGCTCGCGAGCAAGAAAATCACAGTGTAACGAGCAGAATTGAGAGTCTCTGTGGCCTTGCAGTAAACGTTCACTTTGATTCAGCATCTGGAGATGTGGTGAATCATTTCCAAGTAAAAATGAGCTTTCACTGTTTGTTGACAGAACCAGCTGACCTTAATGTCGTGCTCCAGGCTCCTGACCAATTCCCCGTCTACCTGCCCGGTCTGAGCCACCCGGATGCTGCGGCGCTCTGCCTTACGGAGGCGATACTGCAGGATGCGGCACGTCTTCTTGGCCTCCTCTAACTGCAGCCGCAGCTCCTGCAGCTGGTACACCTCCTCCTCCTGGAACATGTCACGCATTTCCAGCATTTCACAGTGAAGCTCCTCCACCTCGTCCTGTGGCAGAATTACAGACGTGCACAAAGGTGATCACTTTTGGGGAAGCTTTGTTTTTAATCACTTTTAATCAGGTGATTTTTCTTTCTTTTTCTAAAACTGAAAAAAAAAATCGCATTAAAGGTAAAGCACTAATCAGCAGGAGAAAATGTATAGCATGCCTTTTTTGGTTTGGAACAAAATGACTTCACGAGGGCAGGATTGTGCCATAAAAAGACTTCAAGCGTGTGACACAGTGGAAGGTTTTCTACGATTTCCTAAACTGAGTTACGCAGCAGTGAAGCATGCATAGGTTTGTTTTTTGGAAACATGAGTTAAGTGTGTTACTGAAGTGTGTGTGATGTGAAAATACGGGAGAGGAATGAATCATGTATAAGAACCAAGTCCCAAGAGGTAATCCATCTGGTTAGATCTACTATGGACTCTTTAACTTGCTTGTTTAACTGTTTATTAGCAAATTAGCAAGAGTTTAGACATATTTGTTGGTCTGGAGCATACAGGCGTGCTTACACTATGGTCGGTTTATGTAATTACGCTCAAAGACACTAGAGATCTGCTAAATTAATTAGCTGTTGACTGAGATTTATATTAATGTTCAGAATTACCTGAAACTTTAAAATCTGACTGTTTTCTCATTAAGAAATGTTTCTAATGGTCTGTTATAGAGAATTGATGCTTTCATACCAAACATGGAAAGCGTCAGCAAGGAGCTGTTTATCAAATGATGGCCAGGAGCTAGAGCTTACAGTCATGTGTTAACAGAAAACCGTGCGGGTCAGCATTGCTCCTGAGAGCAACAATAAGTTGTTCGTGCATAAAAATTAAATATCAGTGTTATAAAAATACAGTGTGATGAAAACGTATATGGTTCTGGTTGTCTTGAGATGGAATTTCTAGTTTCTAACTAAATAATTTTAAATATTCTTACATTACTGCAGGGACAGCCTCAGGGGGAAAGGTTAAACTAGACTCTGCCATCTTTAAACTCCTGATATTTTTAAAAGATATTACTCCAAATACTGTTGTGTTTGGCTCTTGTGAGGACCATTTAGCTCCAAATGATGTCCGAGATTGAAATCACTCACCAAGTAATGCAACTAAACCAAACTGGCATCACCACAACTTAGTTTAGCTTATGAAGTCTAAACTCGACCTACTTTTAAGTACTCGTTCTCAGACCTCAAGTCTTCCACTTCTCTGACTAGATCCTCGGTCGTCTCCCCCATAATGAGATCCATAAAAGCCCCCGCAGATTTCAGAAACCCGAGTCCTCCTATTGCAGCATCCTGCTGGATTGCGCGGGTCTCTGCCGCTGCTTTTACGCACGGAGATCTGTCGCTGTTCGGGCTCACGTAAGCTCTGCCGTCTATCCAGCTTAAGTCGTTATCGCTGCTCCGCGAATCGCGCTTGTTGCCCTCCGAGGAGCAGTCGGATATTTCTGAGCTGCTGTCGGAGGAGAGTTTCCCAGATGGGCAGCCAGAGTCTTTGCTGAGATCCTCCGAGGCGAGGCTTGCATCCGACAGTTTCCTGTGCGCTCCAGGGCTCTTCTGGCACTCCGAGCTGCTCACACTTTGGTCCGCTCGCTTTTCTTGCGGTCCCACTGGCTTCGAGTCCCCGGCGCTCTCCCACTGGCTCGACTCCTTTACAGCTGAGCCACTTTGTGCAGCTTTTAAAGGCAGATCTTTCTTCTTTTTAGGTGCCAAACTCTGCTGCTGCGTCCTGGCTTGTTTCTGGCTACATAGCGCCGTCTTTGCGCTCTTATCGCAGTCTTTGCTCATTCTTTTCACTCTTTTCCTATCTAAGAGTTGAGATATGTTAATTTAAAACGATCTAAATATTACAACAGCTCCAAATTATCCGTAGTGCGCAGCTCAGACGAGGTCTGTCCATGAGGACTGGATCTTCTCCGAGGCGCGCGCAACAATCTGTTTCATTGGCGCAGACGACTTCCTGTTACGGAGTCCAACGTAAAGTCGTTTTTGCACAGAAAGAAAAAAAGCACGGCTTAGTTTATATATATATATATATATATATATATATATATATATATATATATATATATATATATATATATATATATCAAGGATGTAATATTCACTTTAGAAGTGGGGGGGGGGGGTCTTTACAGTATGCTCCAATGGGAAACAGGCTTCAACACAAACGGTCGTTTTCCGCTTGGTCCTAGAGCTCAACCAGTGTTAATTTAATATAGCGTAATGTTGTTTTTGGATGGTAAAAAGTGCAGGGGTCAAAATTTGACTTTGGAAAATGTGGGGGGGACATGTCCCCCCTGTCCCCCCCAAAAATTACGTCCATGATATATATATATATATATATATATATATATATATATATATATATATATATATATATATGTGTGTGTGTGTGTGTGTGTGTGTGTGTGTGTGTGTGTGTGTGTGTGTGTGTGTGTGTGTGTGTTCTCCTCATCACAGTTAATTAATTCGTTTAGAAGAGTCCAAAAACTCAATAACACAATAACGGATTTGTCCAGGCTTTAAATAATAAATTAAATTAAAGTTTCAAGAAAGATGGTTTAATAACGTAGTATGTTGATATCATGCTTTAAATAATAACAACATGCTACTTTATTAAACCATCTTTCCTCAAGCTTTAATTGCACCGACTGTGTTTCCGGTTGATGTGACTCTTCACTTGACCAGCAGGGCCACTAATCCTGCTGCATAGCTTATTCCCTCAGCTCCTTCTCCCTTATCCTGTGGAGAATGTCTTAACGCCATTAAACCATAAAGAGCTGCCAGACATGAAGAAGTAAAACAACAATTGACTGTAAACATCTGTTTAACTATTATGCCATAAAGTTGAACAGATTAAGCTCTTGGCTCATTCAGTAAACTGGGGACCTGCGACTGTGTCCTTTCAGACTCTTGAAGAGGCTCATGTAGAAAAACTATTTTTCAAATCAAATCAAACTTTATTTATATAGTGCTTTTCATGCACAGGAAACAACACAGAGTTCTTAACAGATTAAAATGACCCATATAATTCCCTCCCTTTCCCACACTTAAAACAATTGTGACAGTTTCACCCCCAATCCACAAACCATTCCCAGGCACACACACACACACACACACACACACACACACACACACACTCGTATAACACATTAAAAGACCACAGTAAACACTAGGCTGAGCTCTGATTGGACAGGTAATGAAAGACACGCCATCAAGGGAGCCATCTGCCTCGACAGCAGCAGATCCACGGCAGCAGCCAAGACACCAATCCAGGGCGCCCTGGGAGGGAGGGTGGCAACCCCCACCACTTCCCTAGGAGCCGCCACCGACCACCGGTCCCGAGGCAGAGGGCTCCACAGAGGAAACACTGGAAGGATTAAAATACGTAACATGTAAAATAACAAGAGCTAATATGGAAAATGTATTACGTAAAATATCCAATAAAATGTGATTATAGAAATAAAACATCATAAATGTGTAACACAACAGTAATTAAAAATAAATAAATAAGTAAAACAAGTAATGTAATAAATAATAATCAGTTAAAAGCTAAACTAAAAAGGTGGGTCTTGAGCCTGATCTTAAAAACATGAATATTCTCTGCCACGCTGAAATCCTCCAGTAGCCCGTTCCAGAGGCGAGGGCCGTAATAACTAAAAGATGCCTCGCCGTGTGTGTGAGTCCTGACTTTAGGAATGACAAGGAGACGGCTGCCAGAGGAGCGCAATGATGAAAAAATTTGAGGAACATTTATGTTTAAATTAACGATAGGAAAGACTAATTTAGACAGTAAAGTAAAATGATTATGTTGAGCTTATCAAATGAGGTTCAGGGGCGGGCCTTGGGGGGGGGGGGGAGTTGGGGGGGGCAGCGACCCCCCAGCCCGTGCTTGACCCTAACCCACCCCTGGGAGAGAGGCAGATGAGAGAGAGCGGCGTTCTGACACTAACCAAACATGCTGGAAAAGACGAGCACTTCATTGTGTTCAGAGAGGAATGATTTCTATTCTTAAATTTTACTCTCCTGATTTATTTAGGGTTTATGTAGGTTGCCCCGGTCAGGACTGAGTCATGATTGCTAAAAACTTTACAAGACCGACTGACTTTAGTGACGTAGTGGCTGTAAAATATTGAATGAAATGTTGTGCTGCTTTATTTTTACTCTCATGTGTAGCTTTATGACGTGCACATATTACAAGTGGATCTCCGAAATCATCTCCAAGTAAAACTCATCATCATTTCAATGAGAGAACATATTTGAGTTCGTGGGACCAAATGTACTTTTTCAGAGTACTTTCTACTCTATTTGAGTGAAATGTACTCAGCTTGAGTAAAATTAACACTGCAGATGTTGCGGTACAGATGTGGATGGCTAACTGAGAAGAAGAAACTTGGTCTGCAGGGAAAATTTCAGTTCCATTATTCAAGGCAGACTTTTTCAGAGAAGCTGATCATCACAGATGAGGTCGCCCCCAACCCTAGTTTGTCTCAGCCAGAGGCGACTCAGCCTTGGCCTCCATGCAAAAGATGGAGCTAAAACACTGAGACAGCAAGCTATTAAAGTCTTCCTGCACAGACAGGAGGATGGTTTTCTGCCAGATTATTGAACGCTCCTGCTAGTAAATCCTCCAGCCTTTTTACATCCTGCCTGATCATAGCCTCCTGACCTCGTTTCCACGCCTGACCCTTGCCAAGGACTCTGCCTGCCACCACGACTCTCGCCTGTCTTCGACCACATCTCTAGCCTGCTCATGTCAGTTCTCTTGTTCGCTCTTCCTTCTTCCATCTCAGGAACGTTGCTAAGCTGAGTCCCGTTCTGTCCCGCTCTGAACTTGAGACAGTTCTCCACACCTTCATCTCCTCACGCTTAGACTACTGTAACTCTCTTTGCACGTGTCTGAGCAGAACCTCCCTGAACCGTCTACAGGTGGTTCAGAACGCCTGTGCTCGGCTTCTGACCAAGTCCTCCAAACACACCCACATCACCCCGCTTCTCCTCCAGCTTCACTGGCTGCCAGTCAACTCCAGGGTTCATTTCAAGATCCTGGTTCTGGTCTATAGGGCCTTACATGGACAAGCACCATCTTACATTGGTGATCTCCTTAGTCCCTACACCCCCAGCAGGTCCTTGAGGTCCAGTGATCAAAACCTTCTTCTTCTTCTCCTTGTACCTGTTTTGTCTTGATCTGGCTTTGACCCACGCCTGCCTTTGACTCTGCCCTTACCTGAGTTTACTCCGGTAACTCCTCCTATTAGCTTCAGACTAATAAAGACTGTTAAAATGTCTTACTGTGTTTGGTGTCATCACGGGTCCTCTAGTTCAGTTCGTTACAGGTTCACACCAAAGCCAGCCCGAACAGGTGAGTCTTCAGCTGCTTCTGAAAGGAGACCACTGATCTCAGGCTCAAGGGGAGAGAGTTCCAGAGTCTGGGGGCCACAGCAGCAAATGATTTGTCACCTTTGGTCTTTAGTCTGGTGCGCTGCACAAGTAGGTTTTGGTCACTGGACCTCAGGGACCTGCTGGGGGTGTAGGGACTGAGAAGATCACCAATGTAAGATGGTGCTTGTCCATGTAAGGCCCTAAAGACCAGAACCAGGATCTTGAAATGAACCCTGAAGTTGACTGGCAGCCAGTGAAGCTGGAGGAGAAGCGGGGTGATGTGGGTGTGTTTGGAGGACTTGGTCAGAAGCCGAGCACAGGCATTCTGAACCCCCTGTAGACGGTTCAGGGAGGTTCTGCTCAGACACGTGAAAAGAGAGTTGCAGTAGTCTAAGCATGAGGAGATGAAGGTGTGGAGAACTGTCTCAAGTTCAGAGTGGGACGGGACTCAGCTTAGCAATGCTCCTGAGATGGAAGAAGGTTCAGGTCCTTACAGATTAGAACCGCACACCACAAAAACGGTTTCCTCCCCTCTGTGAGACTCCTGAACAACCACATACCCACATAGATCTGCACCAGTCGCCCATGTTCCTATATGATTTATTGTTGTTCCCTACGTTGATTACTTCTGATGTATCCTAGTCTATAACGCTTGGCCTCAGAAACAAATTCCTAGATTAGTCTCTCACCGACATGGCAATAAACCTGATTCTGACTGTAAAACAGGAAAGTGGGCAACATTAGAGTGATTTACGTTCCTACTGCTGCCACCAAAAGCCCTTATAGTTTATTTTTAAGCGAATACAGGAAGTGTTTCTGTAATGTTTTTAGTTTTATAAAGAAGTTTCCTCCTGTCTTTATTCCGTCATGATCATATGCTCAAGAGGACAATTTTTTCCAGTTTAGTTCAGAAAAGGAGGCAGAAATTATCTCTTCTCAAAAGATTATGTATTAAATATTAAAATTATATGACTAGTGGACTATAATATCTTAAAATGTATGTACAATGCTAACAAAAAATACCTTCCTGCAAGTTTAAATAAAAGGTTTATAAAAAGACAAAGTAAATATGAATTAAAAGGACATGAATTATTTATAATACCCATGGGTTAATTGTGCAGATGCATTGTATCTCAATATATGGAGTAAAAAGATGGAATAGAGTAGAGAAATCAAAGATGCAAAAACAATATTTACTTAAAAAAACTGATTAAAATGAAATGGTGAACTCATATAGATCTGTTGTATAAACAAGTGAGGGGGGGAGGGAAAAATAAATTCAAAAAAGTGTATAAATGTCTAAATATATATAAATATATACGTTTGTATGTTTGTTTGTGTATGTAGGTATGTAAATATTCTTCTCCTTTTGTGTTAATTTGGGGTTTTATTTTTTATAAATTGAAATTTTGTTGACCAATCATTCCAGCAATCACCATGTTTAACGTTCATTTAAAATTATACTGTTATTTCATTTGTATTAGCATTATTAGAGTTAAAAGGGCCAGACAACATAATGCTCCTTTGGCCTGGATTACTGCAGCAATGCGGTGTGGCATAAAGTTGATCAGTCTGTAGCACTGCTCAGGAGCCCATGTTGCTCTGATAGTGGCCTTCAGCTCTTCTGAGTTGTTGGGTCTGGCGTATTTCATCTTCTTCACAATACCTCATAGATGTTCTATGGGGTTAAGGTCAGGCGAGTTTCCTGGCCAATCAAGAACAGGGTTACCATGGTCCTTAAACCAGGTACTGGTAGCTTTGGTGCTGTGTGCAGGTGCCAAGTCCTGTTGGAAAATGAAATCTGCATCCCCATAAAGTTGATCAGCAGCAAGAAGTGCTCTTAAACTTCCTGGTAGACAGCTGCGTTGACCTTGGACCTCAGAAAACACAATGGACCATCACCAGCAGATGACATGTCACTCCAAACCATCACTGACTGTGGAAACTTTACACTGGACCTCAAGCAGCACAGATTCTCTGCTTCTCCTCTCTTCCTCCAGACTCTGGGACTTTTATTTCCAAAGGAAATGCAAAATTTACTTTCACCAGAGAACATAACTTTAAACCACTCAGCAGCAGTGCAGTCCTTTTTGTCTTTAGTCCAGGTGAGACGCTTCTGACGCTGTCTCTTGTCCAAGAGTGGCCTGACACAAGGAACGTGACAGCTGAAAGCATGTCTTGCATAAGTCTTTATGTGATGGTTCTTGAAGCTGCAGTCCACTCTTTGTGAATCCCCACATTTTTATGTGTTTTGTTTCACAATCATCTCCAGGGTCGTCTCTATTGTTGCACACCTTTTTCTACCACGCCTTGTCCTTCCCTTCACCTCTCTGTTAATGTGCTCGGACACAGAGCTCTGAGCAGCCAGCCTCTTTAGCAGTGACCTTTTGTGTCTTGGCCTCCTCGTGCAAGGTGTCGATGGTCGTCTTTTGGACAACTGTCAAGTCAGCAGTTTCGCCCATGGTTGTGTCGCCTACTTAGTAATTAGCTGATTAGAGTGTGGCACCAGAGGTCTTCAATATTGAACCTTTTCACAATGTTTAAATATTCTGATACTGAACCTGGGATTTTCATTAGTTGTCAGTTATAATCATCAAAAATAAAAGAAGTAAACATTTGAAACATATCAGTCTGTGTGTAATGAATTAATCTAATATAGAAGTTTAACTTTTTGAATGGAATTAATGAAATATTCTAGACTCATCTGCTCTTTGCTTGTTTCCAGACCTCGCCTGGCTGCCAGCTTATTGGCTGAGAGTCCTGTCAATCACGGTGTCCTTGCTGCCCACTTCCGGGAGGCTCCAAGAGGCACAATACTATCCAATTATTGAATATCTGACGGTAACCTAGCATCATTTCACAGGTAACCCGGTGTATCTGTGTGTAAATGGTCTCGTTAGTATGTGTGTGTATCTGTCAGTGAGTTTGTTGAGGTCATTAGTAAAATTTCTGGGCTAACCCAGTGTAGCGTCGATGCTAACAGCTAGTTAGGCTGTCGGAGAGAGGGAGGGAGGGGCTGGCAGGGTGATGTTATTTTATTCATAACATGACATGTTGGTGTTTGGCTCAACCGAGCAAAGGAAGCCGTCCCAGTTCCGCTTAACAACGTGTTTTTCTTTTGCAGGTGGTGTGTTTTAGCCGGCTGATGCTAGCAGGTAGAGGGGCTGGGCCGATGGTGGAAACATGTCAGCTGAGTAACGTTCAGGATTTTTTTTCTGCTCAGAATGAACAGCGAGGAGGAATTTTTCGACGCTGAAACAGGTGAGGCAGGAAGCGTGCATTTGCATGTCTTTGATGTCTCAGTGAGTAAAAGGATCTTTCTCTGGATCAGGGCTGGAGTCGGATGATTCCTGGGAGGTCAGTTTCAAAGATGCTCTGGTGTTTGACAGCAAGCAGGTGGCGGACGGCAGCACGCAGGAGAATGGGGTGTTTGAGCGCAGGTGAGAAGTCAGGTACAACTCTACATAATCTGTCTTGAAGATTCAGTCATCCGTTAATATACCCGGGTTCCTGGGATTCCGATTCTGTCTTGTTTAGGGTTTAACTTCAGAAACACCATTCTGTATCAGACACCGACATGATGTTGATTAAAAATGTTTTCAAATGATGATTTCTCTTATGAAGTGAAGAAAAATGTGACCCAGCCTGGCCCTGTGTGAATTTGGTTCCATGCTTTAGTCATTTCAGCCACATGGGTTGTGCCCTAAATGAGTGGTTACAAAAAGTTCCTTATTGTGACATCATAATAAGGTAAGTTAGTGTAGACCCACCACCACCACTACACACACGCACACACATACACTTTTCGAAACTCATATAGTCTTCTGCTCTGGATGTGGAGGAGGAGCGGCTCTATTTCAAGGCCCTCCAGAATATCTCCTCACCTCAAAACAGCCAATCAGGAGATGGGCGGGTGTCGTCAGCAACAGCTCATTTGCTGTAAAATGACAGAGCACTGAAATGGCTCATTCTGGAAAGTGCTTAAAATGGATCAAATAAAACTACTGAAATTTACTTATTTTATGTATAGAAAAATAAATTATCATAACGTATTTATAACCGGTCTATGTCCCCATTGAAACAAAGGTCAGAGGTTATTTCAGGATGTCCTGATATGGCACTTACACACTAGCGTCGGCTCCGCTCCGCCTGGACTGGGTTGGGAGTCTTCTCATGTTAGATTTTCCCGCGTGCAACCGGACGTCTTTTCAGCACATCCACTTTTGTTTAATAATGGAGACATTGCAGACTTCTCCACACACTTTTGCTTTGTTCCCCTGCTCGGAGATGCACTCCTGACATCACTGACCACCCGTGTGCTCAGTCACGTCCGCATTTCTAAGGCAGTGTGGAATGAACGCTGCCCGACTGGGGCGAGTGGAGTGGAGGAGATGCTAGTGTGTAAGTGGCAGAGAGTGGAATTCATGGTTCCATACAGGATGTGGTCCAGGTCCTGAAGCAGCAAAGCAGCCCCAGATCATCACACATCTACCACCATGTCTGACTCTTGGTTTGATGTTGTTTTAGTGGTAGTTTGACTCCAGATGGAATGGGACGCAGGTCGATTAGGTTAAATCTGGTCTATTAATGCATGAAACAATTATTTAAACTTGGATTTTGTATCTACTCAGTGTATCTTCCTCTGGTATTAAAATGTGTTTGCTGATCTCAAACACTGACATGTCAGCGGGGTAGGAAATAAAACCAGTTAAACGAAGAGTTATATATTGAATGTTTTCAGGTTGAGGATGGACCAAAATGAACATCTGACCTGTGTGCAGTTTGTGTATGAGATGTTTGAGATGCTGCTGCTATATACACAAACCATAAATAGTACTTAGAGAGAGGTCAGTCCTAGAAATGGTGGAATGGTAAAAGAAGTGTTTTGATATTTTGTTTTCATTTCTGCTTGTTATGCAAATCTTCCCACATGGCACCAGGAAAAGCCTGCCTGCTGAAATGATCTCCAGGAACAACTTCAGTGTGTGGAGCATACTGAAGAAATGCATCGGCATGGTGAGTCCTGCTGGCTCTCTCAGGACAGTTAAAGGTACAACGCACAGCTGATCTTCTGCTGAGTCATGTCCCAGAACCGTCTGGATTTAGGATTAAATAGAAATAAAAGCAATCTTTTTATTACTGCTTTGTCGTTTGATGCATTTATCCTCTCAAGGGTGTGAGAGTCTGCTTATTTGACATGTTTTGTGACAATTCTTGATGAATGTGACTTTATTCATCACAATGTTACAGGAGCTATCCAAAATAGCAATGCCTGTGGTGTTCAACGAGCCGCTGAGCTTCCTCCAGAGAATCTCGGAGTACATGGAGCACACTCACCTCATCCACAAAGCCTGCAGTTTATCCGACTCCATCGAGCGCATGCAGGTCAGAAGGTGTCAGGAGAGCGTGTCGTGTTGAGGTGTTTGTTGGGCTTGTTTACTAGTGACCTGAAGAATAAACAGCTCATTGGTCCAACTCTGAAGTACGATTGAAACCAACATGTTTCATAATTGACAGAATAAGTATTCAGAATAACAGGAAACTGTGATTAATACCATCAAAACTCCACAAATGTCATTTTCTTCTGTTTAGAAGCGAGGAGGATGAGGTCATATGTGTTTGTTCCTGTGACAGGTTGTTGCTGCGTTTGCTGTTTCGGCTGTAGCATCCCAGTGGGAACGGACTGGAAAGCCATTTAATCCTTTACTGGGGGAGACATTTGAGCTCACCAGGTATCAGCAGGGGGTGGGTCTGGATTTCACCGGGCCCTGGTGATCACATTATTTGTGTAACGTGTGTTTTCTTTTTCTAAAGAGAGGATGAAGGATACAGATTAATCTCAGAGCAGGTGAGCCACCACCCCCCTGTCAGCGCCTTCCACGTTGAGTCTCTGAAGCAGGAGTTTGAGTTTCACGGCTCAATCTACCCAAAACTGAAGTTCTGGGGCAAAAGTGTGGAAGCTGAGCCCAAAGGCACCATGACACTGGAGTTATTAAAGTGAGTAACGTGCTTCTTTAAGGTTTTAAAAGCTGACACGTAACCGTTTATGGGTCAGTGCTAATAAAGCGACTTTATAATTGTCTGTTACTTTTATTTAATTAGATAAAATCATAAACAGTAAGCAAAAAAAAATAAAAATGCCACCTGAACCTCCGCGTCCTCTTGTTGTTGTTTACAAAACTTGTTTTCGCCTTTGTTTACAACGCCAAAGATATAAGAAACAATTAGAAATGATAAAGTTTGAACGTAAACCATCGGCTCGCATTAAAATCCCCCAGCATGCATCACAGTTTTGTGTTAAAACACGTTTCTTCACTCAGTTTTGGGTTCTGCCTGGATGAGACCTTTCTGTGAGTGAAGCTGCTCTCAGATAAATAAAAACATAGTGGTGATCCAGGGCTGCACGATATAAGGAAAACCTACGATATTCGATAACGATGATTAATATTGCGATGACGATATTACTTGCGATAAATAAAAACTTAACTCGGGAACAAAAATAATCAAAAACAAAGAAATTCCAAAAATCATTCAAATGAGAAAAGCAAACGATGTGAGGAAAGGGGAAAAGAAATGAAAAAGAAAAGGGACTCACTGGATCCCGGGAAAAGCAGAATTAGCTAAAAGAGCTAACGAAGCTAGCTCAGGTGTTTGCTAACCATCAAAATTAGGGGCCGTCCGCCTCGGGTCCGGGCATCTGACCTATGAGAACCCACCCAATTGGCCAAATGGGTGAAGAGCTCTATTTGATTTGTTAAAAAAAAAAAATAAATAAATACTTCCGTTTGACTGACAGAATGCATCATGTGGAGCAAACATTTGAGCTGACCATTCATTGCGATATTTATCTGTTCTTTGCGATATGCATATTGTGCATGCTGATATCGCGATTACGATATATTGTGCAGCCCTATGGTGATCAGAGTAAACCATGTTCAGCAGGACGGCTCATCTGGAACTCAGACAGCTCTGCTCGCCAACCTCAGCGATAACAGAACTTCTTTGGGAAGAATTTTCTTATTAAAGTTCATGAGAATAATATTTATCTATAATGATATTCCAAGAAGTGTTTGGTCTGATTTGGTCTTGGTACGTCGGAGCTGTTCCGACTCAGACTGGTGTTTTCCAGAATCCCAGCATCTATATTCAGAACCATCCTGCTCGTGCTGTGTGTTTTCAGCAGCAGCAAGAGCTCCAATCAGGAACCAGATGTGAAATAGATTAAATTCTCCCTGTATTTAGTTGATATGGTTGTTTTTATCGCTGTGTTTATAGAAGTTTAAATATATCAGCTGGTAATTTGTGCTCTAGACCAGTGGTTCCTAACCTGGGGGTCCCAACCCCCACAAGGGGGCGCCAAAGCCTCTCAGTGGGTCGCCAGGACCTCTCCACTTTAAGGGGTTAAAACTTCATTTATTACTTATTTATAGCCTACATTGTGCTCATATTTTTTTTCATGAGTGAAAAGTTTACTGATATTAATACAGGAAACAATTAGTACAGAAAAAGTAACACACTTAAGAACATTTTGCTCAGCTCACTGTTTTATTTTCAAGTGTCAAAAGTTCATTAAAGATAGGACTGGTTGATTAATCACAGCCTTTACAGTAAATAATCTAGTATAAACAGTAATATACACATTTAAGTACATTTTGCTCAGTGTATTTTTTATGTGTCAAACATTTATTTAAAGGAGTGATTGATTTATCAGTGTTTACAAGAAACAATGTGTTCAGAAAAGTAATACAAACTGTTAAGCACGTTATGCTCTGTTTGGTTTTTTTAATGACTTTGTTCTGTACTGGAGCCTACTATTACTGTTACATATTGAATCAAAGCATATTAAAATGTGCTTGAACAATTTTATCATTTCTTAATAATGTTTGTACTGGAAGAGAGAATGGGAGGGGGTCGTCAAAAATGTTACTGGTAAAAAACGGGGTCCCTTGGGAAAAAGGTTGGGAACCACTGCTGTAGACCAACAGGCTGAATATGTCCAAACGTGTCCCACTGTTTCAGATCTTGTTGTTGTCTTCACAGACACAAGGAAGCGTACACGTGGATGAATCCGATGTGCTGTGTGCACAACATCATTTTGGGAAAGCTGTGGATTGAACAATACGGAGCTGTAGAGATTACCAACCACAGGTAGCTCTACTGATGCCCTCAAGCACTGTGGGCCAGTGATGATTGATCTTCTTGTTCATTTTTATTGTGTTTGAAACTCCTCAGCACTGGAGATACGTGTGTTCTGAACTTCAAACCCTGCGGGATGTTTGGGAAAGACCTTCACAAAGTGGAAGGCTACATCCAGGACAAAAGGTGAGCGCTCCCGTCAGTCCCCGGACAACGCTGACTGAGTTGTTGTCTCGACTGAAATTGTTGTTGAACCAGTAAGAAGAAGCAGCGAGTGATCTATGGGAAGTGGACCGAGTGCATTTACGGTGTTGACCCTAAGCTTTACGAAACCTATAAGAAGACGGCGAACGACTCAAAGAAGCTGAAGCAGGTGAGAAGCCCTGCAGCTGATTTGATCTGACGTGTGGCGGTCTGCTCAGATGAGTTTGTTCACGGTCGTCTTTAACCTGTTGTTATGTGACTGAAACAGTATCTTTTCCTTTCACAACCACATGCAGTGGCATTAGTTTAAGGGAAGGTAAGAGTGTGTTTGATATCTTTAGTGTGCTGCTGCTGTTGTCC